GGGATAGTGGTACGGGAGGAAAAGCTGTGGGGGATGGAGTGGTGGGAAGAGAGGAGGAGATCGGCAGTTAGCAGGGGGCGGGTAGGCTTCCCTGAAGAGGTGATTTATATACGTGATTTGTTCCGGTGGTTTTCATGCCCCTCCCAGATAGTGTCAGATTGCATATCAGTACACCAATAATCACATTTAACCCCTTGATTGCCAGAAACACGCTCATATACAATAAACCTCCATTGCTAGTATAGTGTCTGAACGGATCAATATCTTTGATCAGATCAGCACTATACCAGCATTCACATTAGTATAGGGTCCCCAAAAACACAGCATTAGCGTGATCAGCACCCGCACCTGCCAGCACCTGCGTTTAGCCCCTACATTTACCCCCCTTCTCCCCCAGCAAGTGCAGTGTCAGTAGGTCACTGTCACTTGATACATTGCACACAAAACCTGATCTCTTCTAGCACTTGCCGGTAAATTTTGATGGCTCTCATATGCAGCAGAGTGCCAGTACTAGTGCCGTTCTACCCTTTGGTGAACTGGAGAGCACCAGCGGCCTAGTACATACTGGTCTTTCACATACCAGCACTGCAGTATCACTTGGTGATGTGGCGAGTCCCATAAGTGCAGTACAAGCTGGTGTGGTGGTAAGTATTGTCCCGCAACCACCAAGAATTCGCACACAGGCCTGTAGAGCCCCTAGTATCCTTCTGGATGTGCTTGCAAATTCCGATTGGCAGCCTACAAATTCTGCAGCACCTGCAATTCCCCCATTCACTGCCCAACCCGGAATTCAGGTGGAAACAGCAAATTTATCTACTCCCCTTGATTTTTTAAGCTGTTTTTCATGGAAGATCTGTATGCATTGATTGTGGATCAAAGCAATTTATATGAACAACAATTTATCACTGCCAACCCAAATTCAAACCTTAAATTAAAATTTAAATTTAAAATTTTTTTTTTGGGACCTAGCCCTCAACATGGGAATTACTAAAAAAATGAATTGCGGTTGTGTTGGTCCACAGACCTGATTCATCATATGCCCATGTTCTCTGCTGCCATGGCCAGGCATAGATATGAGAGTATAATGTGTGTTATGCATTTCAACGACAACACACTCTGTTGTCCTCGGGAGGAATTTGACCGGCTCCAAAATATTTGGCCCCTCAAAATCACCTTAACCAAAAATTTGCAGATGCCTATACTCCTCAGCAAAAAATCTATGTTGATGAGTTCCTCATTCATATTTCTGGCCGCCTTGCATTCAAACAATTTCTCCCAGCAAGTGTGCCAGATATGGGGTCAAGGTGTTTAAGACGTATGAGAGGGCAACAGGCAATACATATAAGTTTCGGATTTATGAGGGAAAAGATAGTCATGTGGAGCCCCCCGGCCCCGGATGCCCAAACTACATGGGGAGTAGTGGCAAGATATTTTGAGACTTGGTGTCATCCTTTTTCCATATGGGGTACCACTTATACGTGGACAATTTTTATTCAAGTTTGCCACTATTTAGACATTTGTACAATCTTGGAATTGATGCACGTGGCACTGTGCGACCTAATGTGTGCCCACCATTAGAAGTGGGTGGATGCAAGGCAGTATATTCTAATGGTGGGCATACCACACACTTTTTATGGCAGAGATTTCCTCTCTTTTTTTCATTCAGCCCACAGGCTGCATACGAAAAAAAAAAGAACATAGCGTATATACTCAACAAGGACCAGCGGCGTACTGGTACATCACTGGACTTTGAATGGTTATACCAGGATGATGCCTACAGCTGCAGGCATCATACTGGTATTTTTTTTTCAGCCGGCGATCGACTTTCATGTAAAAGCAATTCTAGTGGCTAATTAGCTGCAAGATTGCTTTTACAAGAGATGATGCCCCCATCCTCCACTGCCTTCCACGGCCTTCTCGGGCAGTCCTGTGCTTTCGGGACACCTGAGAATTTAGCCGGTGTTTCTGCCAGCTGACCATAGAGCTGATTGGTGACCAGAATGGTGGCAAGGATTTCTATAGTCTAAGAAATTGAAAGCTACGAGCATTTCATCGCTTCAGTTTCGCAGGATATAAACAGTACCATTTGTAAATTGGGAAAGCATCTGATCACACCAATCTTGGTGATATTAGATAATGTAAGGGCAGAGGAGATATCTGGAGTCTGATAGACCCCAGATTTCTCAAAAAAGAATATATGACAATGCCAATTGGAGTTATAGGTGATATTTCCATTCCCTGCGATAGCATTAAAAGTGATTAAAAAAATTAAATAGACAGTGTAAAAATGATTAACAAAATCATAATAACTTAAAAAAAATCACCCTTGTGATCACCCTTTAAAAAGAGGCCTGGTCATTAAGGGGGTAAATCCTCAGGATGGCAAGTGGTTAATGTGCTGCAGACTGTGTTTTATTACACTGTAAATGGCCTACTTATAACATTGGGTCCTTCATTTTCTGACTAAACGACTTTCATTTTTATGTCTGCTTTTATTATAACATGGGATTCAGGGGTGGGTATTTTGCTCCCCACATATGCTTTGAGAACAAGCACAGCACCCACCAAAAAAATGTCTGGAGCTGCCCGTTTGGAAGTAGTGAGACAATATAACCCAGACAAAAATGACTTTAGCGTTAGTGTATTCTTTCAAAGCTTAAACAGTCCTTATCTCTTATGAGCTATCATGCGTAATTCCATAACTTGATTGCATGTTGTTAGAGATAAAATAATTGTCTACTACTTCCCATAATTATACATGGTAATTCTGTCAACAAATATTTTAAAATAAATAAAGATAATTGCCCTAAAAATGCACAGCTAAGACAAAATGCCAGGAAGCTAATAGTGAAGATAATGCTTAATGAAAACATATCATCAGTGTTGATGATAGCAGGCCAAGGATGATCATTTGAAGAGCTTTGAATAAACAGATCACTGCATTTGCATCTTATTGTTTGTCCGTTTCTTCACTGCCATCGTTTCTGTAAAATAAATTATGCAAATTATCTTGTTTTGAAAGAAGAATCAGTAGTTGATTGACGGCCAACTATTTGAATCTTATAACTTTATAGTTTAAATATTTTTTATTTCACTGATTTTTACCTCTTGCTATATTAGATTGATTAAAATGTATGAAAATAATGAGATGTAGCTATTCAGGCTCTAGTTACATTAGTTTTTTTTTTCATTGAGTCATATTAGCTGTACATAAAAGAGATCATACAATGGCCTTTTAATATACAATATAAAAAATGTACCTTGTTATGACAATAAATATATAAAAACTTGAGACAGTTATTAAAATAAATGCATGGCTAAAAATCTTTATATACTTCAACTAACTGCAGCTGATTTAAACATCCGTATTAACCAGATCCATGCTGTGTATGAATGAACTGACATCTCACTAGCAAATGCTTCCTGGTAACAGCAGCTGATAAACCATCTGTACTCTGTGTATGAATGAACTGACATCTCACTGACAAATGCTTTTTGGTTACTGCTCTCAACCAACTTGTCTATATTTTTTTTATAGATTACCTCCTACTGTCTGGCTTGATCAGATAGCCTATCATCTTTATGATTGAAGCCTGTGCATGTAAAGTCTTGCTGTGAGAGTTTCCTCTTTCCTTGAAGTATCTCTCACCAACTCCTAATAGATAATTGATAATCACTCATTCACCCCTTCTCCCTATAAATTTAGAGCACTACGTGAGGGGTGGCATAGACAGTTTCCATCTGACATTGTGCCATTCTAAAAAAGTGGCATGCAATTTTCCATGGAAGTTCAACAAAGCAGACATTAAAAAGAAGCAGCAGACAACTGTGCTCCAACCCTGACAGACTGGGAACCTACATTTTTCTATCCAGTTGGTTTCATATTCTGATTGCTGTACTCTCCACTTTGTAATATGCTCCCTTTACCTTTGCTTCTCACAATACTGCCCCCTTTCTTCAAATTGCCATTACATTACACCTCCACCCTACAGTTCATATATCTCACTATCACGCTTGCCTTCTCTTATCTAATAATGAACCCACATTCTGACATAAACTCTAGGACTCTGGTGCATGTGTGCTCATATAAAGCTCATGCCTTCTATGAGCTTTAGCTTACGTCTACACTGACTATCCCTTGTCAATCTATTATGAATGCTGTTGCAAAATACCCATCCTTCTTTTGAAACACTCACCTCTCTCTGTCCATTTCTAGACTGGCTTCTGCTTGCTCAACAAATAAAAATTCAAAATTTAAGTCCCATCAATCTAATATGATTAAATCTTCATCCAGCACAGCAGAGATGCTTTCTAGCATTCCCATTGCTATGTCGATATGCCGGAAGCATAATGAACTTGTACTATGCTGTTACCAGTCTATGTGCCTTTGGACTTTTGGCAGGTGCTCAAGTGTTACACCTAAATGTAATCTCAAAATTTCAGCAAAGTGTGGATGGCCAGCAGGCTCTTCTGCAGCAGAGAAAAATCCAAGAATATATAGTGATTTAATGCTTAATGCTTTCCTAAACCCCGTGGGATAAAGCAGCTATATTTTATTGGTAAACTGGTAAGAGTCTGTTGGATTCCTTACCCATTTGGACATATTAAAGAAAAAAAAAAAACAACTCTAATGCTTATTGTTAAAAAAAAACATGGATTGATTTGTGATTGAAGTGATACCTTGTTTTATGTTCAATAACATACAAACTTGTCTACATCGGTGTATCACTGAGGATATTGCTCGAACATGCATAGGAATTTTCTTTTTATGGAAATTGCCATTGCCTTTAAATGTCATTATTTGTAGAGGAAATGGAAACAAAACAGATAACGTGCACTGGTTTATGTACTTCCTTGCATTACTTATTATTTGCATGTTATCACATTCATCACAAACCCAACATCTCTAAATCCCTGTATGGACTGTGTTGGATTTAAATGTGTTGATGTGCATTTTGTCCCTATTCAGGCAAAGATACCAACTTTTTTTTTCTTGTTTTAAAATTTCCTATGAAGGTTTATGTGTGTACCTAATAGCAAATGTTTCAGAAACAGATAACGTTCTGTATATAATTGATTCTTTAGAATTCCACCCAATGTCCGGGACATTGTTTATTGCACAGGAGTTTCCTTAATGGATGAAGATGTATGGGAGTTTATCTGGATGAAATTTCATTCTACAACAGCTGTTTCAGAAAAGAAAATATTGCTGGAAGCACTGACCTGCAGTGATAATAGGAACCTACTGAATAGGTGAGAGCAAAATTACAGTTTTTTTAGATACATGGGTGCTTTTTCAAGCAACTATGTTGCTCAGTTTTTGGTTGTGTAGAATAGTGGGGAAGATCATACAACAAAAACACCCATGATATCAACTACTCTTTCACTAATTTAGCATTCATAATTAACTTTGCAAAATTGTATCAGGGTTTAGACCCCATACATCTGTTTACAGTTTAAATATCTTGTTTTCTTTTGTTGTTTCTGAAAGTAATCTTTGACTTTCCCCAGTGTTCATTATATATTCTGGCTCTGTATCCTGTGTTGCAGCCCTGCACAGTGTTCATGCTTTAATTCTTCATTTCACAATGTACTTCCTTTGTGGTGTTTATTTAATCAATGATTAAAGTTTATGTAAACCCAAAAACACAAATGTTATATATTACAGCTTACCATTTGTTAAATGTGGTAGCTGCATTATTTTTTTTTTCAGGCTAAAAAAATTTTCAGCAAGTACACAATAACCCAGTTGATCTTGCCAGAAATGCAATGTCATTGTCTCATCTTGTGACCTAAAAAAGACAGCAAAAAAAACAATGTAATCACACTTGTAAAAGCTACTAATGCCTTTTACTGCCTTGAAATGGACATGAATAAAGGCAGGCATGTTTGAAGTCCAGCCTGTGTCACAGCCATTGCTTCCTATATAGGTACAGGAAAGGAAACCTGTTATTTTTAGGATTACTAAAAGGTCTAAGCATATACCACCTAGCCAAATTGGAAACTTCAGATTTAAGGTTACAGATTTGAGATTCTGGAAAAAAATCAAAGTTAAAACAGCTAATTATAAAATAATGTGAAAAAAAATAAGCAATTAAAAAAAGTAGCCTAAATTCACAATAATATTGGATTACTAATGCAATATTGTATCAACTGATATTGCATATGCTGTATAGAATATAAAGTTTCATTCTAAGTTGAAAAAAAAAATAGTCTAGAATAAAAGTTCATATCATATATCACCAATGTAACACTAGTTATGGAAAGAATTGACGTTTCACTTTAAATACTTACATATGGCACCTTTAATGCTAGGGGTATATGAAAAATATGCCTATAGTTTGATATAATATTATTGTGAATTTAGGCTCCATTTTTGAAATTACTGGGGCCCCAATGTTTTACACATCTACTGTATGTGTGATTTGTTGTTTTTTAACTTTATTCATTAAAACATTTTTTTTCCTTTCTGTGTTTCCAGATTTCAAATCTGATTGTATCCTATATTTGTAGGACTAACAGATGAAAATAAAGGGGGAAAAGACCAAAAAAACGAATGCAGCCATTACATCTATCAAATACTGATAAGCTGCAATATATTACATTTTTGTTTTTGGGTACAGATACAATTTAAGGAAGATCATGTAACTTCTCCCTCTAGTTGCTTTAAATGTTCTAAGCTGAAGTTTAGTTAGCTTTAGTCACTTACCTGTAATTAAGTATGTTCCATGTTCTTCTTCCTGTGAAAATCTTCATTGTAGGGATACCTTGTCCTCTTTCTGTCTCTAAACTGCCTGCAATGGTTAACAGTTTGGGGTTTTTAGGCAGAACATCAGTACAGATGGTCCCCTCCTTCCTCCTCCTACTCCATTGAGAAAAGTTATTTCACTGATTACAATGCTTGTAACACCATCTGTAAATGGGGAAGAGTCTGATCAGTGACCCTCATTCACAGATGGTGTTACAAGCAGTGTAATCAATTAAATAATTTTTATCAATGGAGGAGGAGGAGGAAGGAGGGGCAGGTCCCCATCAAACCCTCTGTATTGCTTTTCTGCCTAAAGACATGAAACTGTTAACCGTTGCAGCACCATTCAGAGATAGGAAGAGGACAGGCATTGCTTCAGTGGAGATTTCTCTAGGAAACAGGTGCCTGCACAGCAAAGGACATATTTCATTTTATATAATGAAATATAATATATAAGATATATAATATAATTACAGATGACGAAGTATTCAAAAATTCGATTCGGCTGATTCGGCGAATTCGAGGAATAAATTCGATTCGAGTCGAATATATTCGCTGCGAATTTAACTTATAAAAAGGGTGTTTCTAGGCTTCAGAGAGCCTTTATATTAGTGCAGAACACTGTACCTTTAATTTAAATGCCCTTGGAGTCTGCTGGGGAAGAGAAATAATACTGTCAGTCAGTATGACATGCAGATGAGTGCCGTCGATCTTAGAATCACCGCACACTTCACTCATTTGAGCAGTCACGGGGCCAAAACCAGAGTGTGGAGCCACAGTGGCGGTGGCGGTGGAGGCAGCAGCAATGGGAGGCCATACAGCACCCTATGACAAAATGGAACCACCAGCAGTGTGAGGAGACCTGAAAGTGGCACATGGCAGAGAGTGGCGATGGAGACAGCAGCAATGGGAGGCCGTACAGGGACCCATGACACACTCTGGACCTGGCAGCAGCATGAGGAGGCGGTACAGGGGCCCATGGCAGATTACGGGCCTGGCAGCAGCAATGGGAGGCCCGTAATCTGCCAGCACCCTATGACAAAATGGAACCCACCAGCAGTGTGAGGAGACCTGAAAGTGGCACATGGCAGAGTGTGGCGATGGAGACAGCAGCAATGGGAGGCCGTACAGGGACCCATGACACACTCTGGACCTGGCAGCAGCATGAGGAGGCGGTACAGGGGCCCATGACAGATTACGGGCCTGGCAGCAGCATGAGGAGTCGGTACGGGGGCCCATGGCAGATTACGGGCCTGGCAGCAGCAATGGGAGGCCCGTAATCTGCCAGCACCGTATGACAAAATGGAACCCACCAGCAGTGTGTGGAGACCTGAAAGTGGCACATGGCAGAGTGTGGCGATGGAGACAGCAGCAATGGGAGGCCGTACAGGGACCCATGACACACTCCGGACCTGGCAGCAGCAAGAGGAGGCGGGTACAGGGGCCCATGGCAGAGTGGCGAAGCGTAAGCAGCTTAAATTGAAGGCCATACAGAGGCCTATGTTAAAAATAATAAGATGTTTGGGGCATGATTTCATGGCGGA